AGGTGTTCATTAACTTTTCTTTGAGTCATAAAAAGGATCAGATATGTCATTTCAACACACATACACACTTCCCACTTCAAATAAAAGTGAACGGTTGGCTGAGGCAGCACTCTCATCTCCTAAAACATTTCTTAAAAATTAATTAGCTAATGGATCTCACGCCCAACACTCCTAGAACATGAAGGGGGAGGACACTGGACCAGATGCCCAGAAATGGAAACAGACACAGATTTTCATGTACATGCAATCACTTCACCTCATGGATGTCAACACTCAGAATTCTCTCCTATTCAGGATGTTCCTAATTTTGTAGCCAAAGAAAAAGTCAAAACCAAGTTACATAGAAAGACAGAGTTGGAGACAAAGATCTAATACAAACACTAAATTATTCAAATGTTAACAGTGGTTCTAGGTTATAGGATTTATCAGTCAGTTCTGTTTCTTTTGTATACCTGCGGCCCCTAAATTTTCTACATGAAAGTGCTTGTGTAATTATTTTTAGAGTTTTAAAATAAAAATAATTAGTCCACAATCTAGGTTAGTCTATTTGGATTTTATTTTTCACTACAGAAAAGCACAAACTCAAAACTTCTAGGAGATCCACCACTCTTCCCAGTTTTGCTCAAGTAGAGACAAGTGTGAGGATGAAACCCAAACCCCGCGAAGACTCACTCCAGTCCAGTAGGAAAGCTCACCGTGACCAGGCTGAGTACAGGGCAGACATTACTACTTTCTTTTCCGTCTCCAACGTGTAGGGAAGATGAACATTCTAAACTAATCTCTCCTCAAGCGCAACCAAGAGTTCACAGACCTCTGCCCCCAGAACAATTTCCAATGCATCTGTCCACAACCACCCTTTAGCTTCAACACTACCCACACCACTTAGAATCTGTATACCGCTTCTAAGGAACCCCCTTTTCCAGTATTTTATTTCTAAAAAAGTTATTCCTCCTCTTCCTTAAGATTCACAAACATATGATCCAACCCACAGGATACAGAATCATCCATTCTATCAATGAATAATCATGGTTGGCCATGCTGTATGGAGCTTAAGTAAAGATTATGTTAACAAAAAGGATGGGTTTTCATGGGCCTGAGGAAAACAGACAGGAATTGAGGAGCAAGATTTTGTTAAAATGTCTCAGCCCTGGCCAGAGGGGGTGGGGTGCGGTGGGGAGGGAGATGGCCAGAGGACAGAACATCTGTCATTCTGCAGTTTCATTTCTCATGGCCAGTTAATACCCTGAGTTTATGCATCAGTCTCTTCCAAGTTTGGTTAGTGAGTCAGTCTGCCTGGATCCAATCAGCTCCAAGTGCCTTACAAAACTGAATTTCGGGTCTACAAAACTGAGAACCAGATCCTGAAACATAGTGATCCCACCAAAATAAAGCCACCCCCAGGATGACATCTGTCTCCACTCTCTAACTCCAACACCCGTCATGGTGTGTATTTGATGTGTCTAATACTCTCTGATGTATCTAATACTCATCTAATACCCGCCATGGCTTGTAGGATAAAATCCAAACTTGACCCGCCTTTCACAGCTCCAACTCAGCTTTCCAGCCTCCTACCCAAACAAGCCAAGCCTCTCAAGGCTCCATGCTTTCATATATAGCTCTCTCTACCTAGAATGTCCTTTGGCCAGTCTTACTTGCCTACAAAACTCCTTTGCTTCCTCCAAAGCCCAGTTCAAAATTCACTTCTGCCCTGAAGCCTTCCCTACTCCCCCAGGCATTTAGTTCTTACAGCTTATAACAGCTAACTACAGGTGCGTTAGAGAACTTAAGTACATTGTGCTTCATCTGTTTCAATATCTGACCTACCTCTGGATACCCTGAACTTCTGCAGAGAAGAAACTCACTTTGTATCCATAAGTCCTAGCACAGTGTCAAGAATGAAAGGTGAGATCAATGTTGAAAGGTTGATCAGGTGGAACACTGGCATTAAGTCGTTTGGAGGAAAAGGGAGGAGAAAAGAGTCTCACAAAATCTGAGAATTAAATTATCCATATATTGAATCTCATCCAAAGTGACCGCAATATGGTTAAGAGGCAACATGAAAGTTTTAGAAATTTAAGTAATAATAGCAACTAACATTCCAGGTGAGCGCTATGGCTTGGTTAATTTGATACACACAACAGTCCTGTGAGGTAGGTACTTTTATCTGCATTTAAGCTGGGTAAAGCTTGAGGCCTTTCCAAAAAGGAAACTGAGGCACACAAGAGATCAAACTCAAAATCATTCCCTTAGCAAGTGGCAGAAGCAACCGGTAGTCTGGTTCCAGAGCCACTGGGCTCTGGGATCAGGAAGACCTGGGTTTGAATTCAGATTATGTTACAAATGTGGTTTCTGGATAAGTCATCTAACCCCTCAGGACTTGTTTCCTATCCCTTCTGCGCTCGTGTCTGTAAAGGGGCAGACAAGCCCTTTCTCTCAAACTGCAGAGGAGTAAGTCAAATATGATGTTTGCCAAAGTCTCCCAAATTGTTTCTCCCGTCTAGCAGGCGCTCCATAAATGCTAACTCGTCTTCCTTTCCCTTCCTAAAAGCTGCACAAAGTAGACTCTGAGGGAAAAGCTCTCTCCTAAACTACTCTAAAGGCTTTTCGCTTTTCTGAGGCAGATCAAATAGTTAGGCCCTCAACACAGAAAGCCTCGCCTTACCTGCTTATCTCAAAGTCCATTCCCCAGACAGAGGCCAGAGACCTTTTAGAATGTAAATGTCATCATGTCAATCACTTAAAACCCTCCAAAGGTTCCTAATTTCACTGGAGATACAAACCAGAGTTAGAGGGGGGAGGCATTCTGTCCGCAGGGCCCCCTGTGATCTCCCTCACGTCTCTACAGACTTACCTCCCCTCTCCTTTTCCCCCTCCAGCCACACAGGCCTCTTTCGCTTCCTCCAACTTGCCAAGCTCCGTGCTGCTCCACACATGGTTAACTCTTAACCCTCCTTCGGGTCTCACCCCAGACGTCACTTCCTCAGGGAAGCCCTCCTTAAGCCCCCAAATCAAATCAAGGCCCATTACTCTTACCACTCTCTTCATCTTTCCTTCCTTGGGCTCATCACTGTTTGAAATGATTAGTTTACCACTTCCTTCAGAGTTGTATTCAAAAGACACCTTCTTAGAAGGCCTTCCCAGGCTACTTGAATGCAAATTCAACCCCCACCCAACATCTCATATCCTCCTTCCCTATTTTCTTTTTATCCTTTAGCATTTAGCCCCTTTTAACAGGCTTTTTTTTTTTTTTTTTTTTTTTTTTTTTTTTTTTTTTGAACTATATCCTTTACTTTCCTGTCCTCCCTCCCCCTCTCCCCTCTCCGCCCTGAAATGAAAGCTCCAGAAGGGCAGTTATTTCTGCTTGCTTTCTTCACAGCATCGAAAACAATGCCCGGCACATGTTTGTTGACAAACATTTGGTGCTGGATGAAATTTCAAGGTTACTTATTATTGGCCTTTCTCACTAGGCTACGAGCTCAAGCTACAACATATCTTTCTGCTTTACCACCATCCTCCCAACACCTAGTCCCGTGCCCGGCACGTAATAAGTGCTCAATAAAAATTTACTGAGTGACTCAAAGCCACGACCATTGGGGAAAAATGGGCAAAATACGTGTGCTAGCACCATTAGCTTCCTCCTCTCTTTCACTGTGTGATGTACCTGTGAGTTTGAGGAAACAGACCCATGAAATCCCAGCAGGCACCCACCAGGCCAGGCATCTGTCTGTCCACATCCTGTATGCTCAGCCACACTGTACACACAAGCAGATGCACCCTACAGGCCGTACGTGAACACAGAGCTGAAGGCAAGGGGGCCAACCCTAGGCCCAGCACCCATCTCACCCCCAAGTCCTATTCTAGGCTAGTCCTGGGTGCCAGACATGCTTCCCTGGGTGGGCCGGTGGATTTATTCCAATCCAGGACTTTTAAT